CGTTACATTCGAAATCTATTAAAAAATACAACAATAAAATCTGACAACACTTTTTGGAACCATTAGTAATTAAAAAGAATAGATTTGATTTATTTGTCTTGATTTTTATGAAATTTTTCATGTTGAAAAATAAAATAATGAGTCAGTAGATATATTCAAAGAATTTATTTTAAATAAAAACAAAGAGATTCTGATCAATGAATCATTCATTCGATAATTAACTTCTTTTTTAACATATCAAAAATCGTTAAAATTTATTCGTTGTGAAAAATATCCGTCAAATACGAAAAACAAAAATAAATCATCTTCTAGATATTCATCCAATCCACGTGATATCATTATATATATATATACGCGAACAAAAAACAAAAATCGAACCATTGACTGAAGTGACTAGTTCATTTATTTATTTTAAAATCATTGTTTGTTAAACAATAGTAATTGTTTTTATTTACTAACAAAAGAAATGACTGAATCAATAATAACTATTTCACGTAAGTAATAATTAATTATGAAATTCAATTCTTTGATTTTTTTTTTTTAATCAATAAATTTTTTAGCTAAAACATCACCATATCGTTCTCAAATTCAAACTCGTATTGCATCACCAGGTTCATTATCATCTGTTAATTTTTATGTTTCACCATTAACTAATCAAAATATTGATCATCATTCAGTATCAAATGAAAAATTACAATTAAGAAAATTAAATGATCAATTTTTAACATATATTGAACGTGTTCGATTATTTGAAACATATAATAATTGTTTAAATATACATTGTGAAAATATTAATAATGCACAAGAACGTATAAAAACTAAATTAGATTTACTTAAACAAGAATTTCATGAATATCAATATGAAAAATTAAATCAAGAAAAAAAAGATCTTGAATTAGAAACTGAATATATTAATAATATTGAAAAACAAGTTGAAGAATATAAAAATAAAAAAATATTTCTTCAAAATGAACATGAATTATATAGAAAACAGATTATTAATTTACAACAACAATCTATTGATTTACAAGTATGTATTGTTATTTCAAATTAAACCTAAATTTTAAACAAACTAGAAATTTATCAAAATGAGAATGTCGTTCTGATATGTTTTTTTTTTTTTGAAAGTTAAATATGAATCTATAAAGTGTAATATATTGTTATTCATTACTTAACACGTATGAACACTAAATTTATAAGTATATCAGAGTAAAAATATTTCGTTACTATACTAATGCAGTTCTGATAGTGAATCTAAAAAAACTATTCTTCATGATCATTTCGATTATAAACCCCTAAGTATCAGAAAAAATAGGGTTCCATGAATTTCGGCCCGGTCCGAAATTCCTGGTGGACTTTCGGCCCATGACCTCATTGACCCTAAAATAAAAAACCTAATTTTTCAAAATTAGTTGCTAGACAACGTAATGCTGAGCAAGACGTCATAGTGCTCAGCGATATGTCGTAGTGCTGAGCAGGACGTCATAGTGCTCAGCGATATGTCTTAGTGCTGAGCAGCATGACGTAGTGCGGAGCAGTATGACGTAGTGCTGAGCAGTATGGCGTAGTGCTCAGCGATGTGTCGTAGTGCTGAGCAAGACGTCATAGTGCTGAGCGGTATGGCATAGTGCTGAGTAGTATGACGTAGTGCTGAGCAGAGGGTATGGGGTGTGGATGTCTCTTCCTTCAACACCCACACTACCCCACAGTCACACACACACCTACGCCATAATGCTGAAGATTATGAGGCCCTGCTCAGCACTGTACCATACCATTCAGCGCTATGACGTTCTGTTCAGCACTACACCATACCGCTGAGCGCTATGACGTTCTGCTCAACGCTACGTGATATCGCTGAGCACTATGGCGTTTTGCTCAGCATTGCGTCATATCGCTGAGCACTATGGCGTCCTACTCAGCCCTACTATGTCTAGCAACTAATTTTAAAAAATTAGGTTTTTTATTTTAGGGCCAATGAGGTCATGGGCCGAAATTCATTGTAGACTTTCGAACCGGGCCGAAATTCTGATCTCCCAAAAAATAAATTAAATATTTCTTTTGAATTTTAGTCTAAAACAGAAAAATTACGTTTTGATTATGAAAATGTAAATGATGATAGTAATCATTATCGAAAACAAATATCTTATTATCAATTACTTAAATCATCAATTCTCGATGAAATAACTCATCAACATGATATACATCAACGTATACAATTAGAAATGGATGATTTAAAAATACAAAAACAATTATCTATACAAGCATATGAAGCTGATACTCAAGTTTGATTTATAAAATTTTTATTTGTTTTTTACTTTTTTGCATATTTACTTTTTTAGGCAATTGAAATTCAAAATGATAATTATTTATATGATTTAACAACACATTTTCGTTTAGATGGAAATGAAAAAAATATTTTAACACAAATGTTAAACGAAATTCGTGAAGAATATAAAATGAAAGATACTGAAATGCGTGAAGAGCTTCATCGAAAATGTATATTTCAAAAGATTTTTCTTTTTTTTTTTTAAAATTTTGTAAAAACTTTGGTTTTATTTTTATAAGATTTATATGAATATAATCAACATATGAAAAAACATATTGATCAAAACTTAATTGAAACAAATCGAGAATATATCGAACGACATCATTTATCTAATGAATTAAATTCTTTAAATGATAATCGATTATTATTACGTCAAAAATTAACTTTAATACAAGAACAATATAAACAATTGGAAATTAATTTTCAACGAGAAATCATGCGACAAAAAAATATGAATGAAAAATATGATCATGAAATAAATAAATTAAGTTTATCTGTTCAAGATTATGTAAGTTAAAAGAATTCATTTAAAACAAGATCTCAAAAATATTGTTCAAGTATATATAAGTAGAAATTTGTACTTTCATTTCATAGATAGAATAAAACAATCTCTTTGTATTTTATCATAACAGCTATATGATATTTCATATTTATGCTAACAAAAGTTTTTTTTTTAGGAAAATCTTCTTAGTAATAATTCATTAATTCGTCAAGCAACAATTGAAGATGAAGTTAATAAATATCGACAATTACTTGAAGGTTCAAATCAACAAATAGGTCTTCGACAATTAATTCATATGTCAAATACAATTGATCGTTGTTCATCTATTAATCATTCAACTATTTCTTCAATTAATAAATCTGAACCAGCATCAACAATTTTACTTCTTAAATCTCGTACTCGTCAAAATTCCACAAGTGAAACTTCATATGTAACAGCACCTATATCAACAACAACAACAATAACAAATCAACAATATCTTACTTTAGATACAGTTAATGAAAAATTATTTCAAAATGATTATGATACTGATAATGATCAATCACAAACAATTCAATCCATATCTGGACGTAACAGTCGATTAATAAGTGAAACAGATTTAACAACAACAGTAATAAATCAAGAATCATTACCATCGACTGATTTTATTAAACAGAATGAAACAATCCATGAAATACCTATTGAAACATCTCATACAGATGGTAAGTTTATTATTAGAAATTTTAGTCTTGTAAAAAACTAGCTACTCATTCACAAGAAGAACTACTTTTGTCCAGAACTTTAATAAAATATCAATGTTTTTTTAAATTTTTTATTACCTAATAGATCCAATAAATCAAACATTACCATTCATACCGATGAATGTAGTATCTCATGCTGATATAGATGAAAATAAAACTATTATATCTGATGAACAACAATCTCCATTAATATCTACATTGGAAAAACGAGAAGAATCAGTAAAAACAACTATCGAACCAAATATTTTAACATCATCAGAAATACTTATTCCAATTACTATTGATATTGATTCAATAATAACTGAAGAATTAAATGAAGCAAAAATTGTATGTCAATTTTTTAATCATTCCTTTTTTGAATATATTCATCTCAATGGTTATAATTTAGATATCTCCATCAACATTAGATACGTCTATTAATGAACAATCAAAATCAATTGTATCACCTATACCTATATCGAATCAACTTGAAACTGAATCAACTATTGCTGAAGTACCAGTATCAACATTACCAGCAGTAAATCCATTGAGTAAATTAATTTCAGCAATGTTACCTAATGCAACGCCATTTATACCAAATTCAAATGTTATTAATAATCAATCAGTTAAACCTTCACCAATACCAATATCGTCTATGAATAATGATGCACCACCGTTTATTCCAACTCAACATCAACATGGAACTAATCAACAATATATGAATAATACTGGTGTTGGACATTGGAATGGAGGTAGTACACGAGGTGGTGGTGGTACAGGAGGAAATAATCGTCGTGGACAAAATGCTGTAAGTTTTCTTTTAAAAATGAAATAAAATAAAATATTCTTGATAGGGTGGTGGTTTTCATCATGGTGGTGGAAATCAACGATCTGGAGGTTAGTTCAAATTTATATTTTCTTATTCATATATATATTTTATTTATAGGTGGTGGTAATTGGCAACAAGGTGGTGGTGGTGGTGGTCATCATAAACAACGTCGTGGACCAAAATAATATTTTTAAAATATTTTTTTTCATTGTTTAACTGTTATATTCTAGATTAATTGTATGTTTTCTTTTTCTTCATTCTCTCAGATGTTTAACATGATATATATATATATGTATAAGTGTGTGTGCTTTGTTTTTGAGTTATGCTCTTATTCAGATGAATGAAAATAAATAACAATTGAAATAATTCGATAAAAACAAGTCTGTTTTTTGTAAGAAATCAATTCTATTTAAGAGTTTATACAAAAAAAAAATTAAACGACAGAAAACAAAAATATTTAAAAAGAACGCGCTTTGATGCTTTTATATTTCATAATTAAATGTTGAATACAACTTTTTATTTTTAATATTTTATTTTATCTTTTTAATCAATAGGATTATATGCTCTCATAAATATGTTTGGTGGTGATATTGATCATCACCAACAACGGAATGAATATCATCTATGAGAATATGTTCCGATCCGCTGGATACGGTTCGATCTACTGGATCGAACCAACAATGGTGTATTCCATTACCAGCTTATTATACAACAATTATTCCATATGTACCTGCTAATACTGAATACGATGGTCAACGCTTATCAAATATCACTGAATTTTGTTCTGATATTAGTAATTATAATAGGTTGAATATCATAGATTCATCATTATGTGCTAAGAGTAAATTGATTCAACGTATTCGACATAAAATTGATCTTTATCAAACACCATCATCCAATGATGCATATCAGATTCTTCAACACCTAACAGATATTGTAAAAAAACATGTACCAGATTTTGTTTTTAAAGAAACAACTGATAGCAAGTCAAAAATTAGTCAATTAGAATCAAGTAGTTGAATAAATTGTTTTTTTTACTTTTGAGAATAATTTGAGAATAATGACAAGTTTTTGATGAAGAGAAAATCAAATGTAATTTTTTCAGATATTCAACAAGATGTATCGCCAATATCGAATAGTAAGAAATCAAACTCAAGAAGTCCTTCATTTCTACAACGAATTAGCAACAGAAAATCCACAGATAAATTTTCATTATCGAAAGATTCTTCATTTCATTCGACAAACTTATCGACTGACGGTAATCAAATGGTTAATGCCGATAGCAAAGGTAGGAGTGGCAGAAAAACGAATGGTTGTCATCAACACATTTATTCATAGTATTCGATTTGAGTCCACGCAATCATCATGATCGAACATCAATAGTGACCAGTATTCCTGCCCCTTCGCTTTATTCAACACCACACGCCTCGAAACAACAAAGCACTAGCAATCGTAAGTAGTTTCCTATGTTGTAAACAACGTTGTTCAACATTACGATCGAAGTATTTGTTTATTTGTTTTTTTTTTAATATAAAATTACGACATGCAATAGATAATATAGTAACAAACAGTAATGATCAAGATAATTCAACAATGAATTTTCCAACTCCAAATGTTAGTACTCATCATCTTAGTAGTGATCGTATTACAAGTGCAATGGATTTGAGAAGTAGTCAATATCTGTCACCATCTAACCAACAACAACGAACTAATAAAAAGTCATCAGAAAAACAAACGTTACAGACACAATCATTGACACCAAACTCTTTACAAAGATTACCATTAATTAATAGTCAATATAACAATCAAGTTCAACATACATTAATAGACAAAACTGAAAAACGAAATAACTGGATTAATAAGTAGGTAAAATATTTTATAAAAACAAATAACGATGTAAACAAATACTTATGATCCAGCAAAGAGGAACAAACTGATTTCTAGTTCCTAAAAATTGTTAACAGTTCTAGTTTTCTGTGTGTTTTTTTTTATAGATTTCATTGTTAGCCTTTCTACACATCTTTCAGCCATCTTTGATTTACATTTGCTTTCTTTTGAAAAAAAAGTAAACCAAGGGTTTGCTTTTAAAGTTCTCAGTGTGCAACGGACATTATTGATAATTTAAACGTCAGAAAATAATTCATTGTCATTTTCTTCAAATTTTCATAGATTTCGATATTTTCCAAATCATATTGGAACAAAAATCTCACCATCTTCATTAAGTTAATGTCAACAAATAATAGAAAAAAAAAGTATTTTATTGTTTTTTATTATCTGTATATATCTTTGAACTATCTATTCATTCGTAGTAATAGGCATTTTTAAAATATCAGTATTTTCTAAAATTGCGAATAATCTGTATTCATATTGATAGCCTAAAATTAATACTTAATGTCAATGTCGACGATAAAAGTGTCAGTATCTTCAGGGTTAATATGTCCTTGGTTAGTCTTTTATAGGACATCGTTCATTTCTTCTTGACATGCAATAGTTTCACGATCTCCCACGTATCATATATGTTATTGTCATTAAGTATACCAGATCTATGCATTAAAATGAATAGAAATGTCCTTTGTATCCAAGAAAATTTATCTCAATACATGTTCAATCTCGGCAAACAATCAGCATTGAATGTGACATATAATATTCATAAATAAATCACCTTTTGCATTTGGCATAGCTTCCTTTCTCTAAATGCAATATTTAAATGCTGAGAGTTTATGGTCCTATATCTTCTGTGTGAAATAAATTATAAGAATTATCAAGCGATACCCTCTATTATAAATGATATTCTTTCCCCCCATGATTGACTTCGTATTATATTGACGTTTTATGGACGTTTTGGTGAGAATAAGATTGAGATTAAATTCATAATTAGCAGCATTGAATTGAAAACTTACCGAATTATAAATTAATGAGTATGTCGAGTTACCAAAACTTATACTTCGTTAATGGAACACTATCTATAGACTTCTTCGGTTATCCTTAATGAGTTAATCACGTTTCTTTCTTATTTTCAAATTCCATAAGATTATATCAGTTAAAAGTTCAATTTCCCAAATGTTGTCATGCACACACAAAAGTATCCTGTATTATTAATATCTTATAGTTCAAAGAGTAGATGATCTTCGTCATGAAAAATCTTCTCATCGATTAAAATATTGAAATAAACTAAAAGTATTTTCTGATCTTGACAAAAGTATCTGTTTTTTTTTTTGGTTAGTTATATGTGAGAAATAACATGTAAAACGATAAATACATAAGACAGCAATGTCTTTTACGAAGAAAACTGAGTGACTATTGATTATGGATGACACTTAATACTGTTCAATAATATGTTCCTTAATTCAAATGAAAGAACATACTTTTAGCTATAATAATTTCTAACAAATACTGCTAATTTCTGTTATTTGAAATCAGTATGTTTCGCGTTGTGATTCTCATAAAACATCGTTTGTTTTTTTTTTGAATGTATAGATTGAAAAAAAAACTATCAAATAAACACTTAAATACCAGATCTTTCGATAACGTACCACTGGAAAATATTTCTCATGTAAATGTAAATGATCAAAACAAAATCTATGTTAATCATTTAAATATGAGAGAAGCAATGGCTGCTTTAGAAGAAGATCTTACTACAGAAGCATTTCAAGCATTAATTAATAAAAAGAAAGATTCTCAACAGAATGGTTTCATGCGAATACTAACAGGACCTTCACGATGTTGTCGTTCATATCGTACTCAACGACGTTTAGCAACAGTTGTTCAACGTTCAATTGATATTGCTATAAAAGATATACCAATGTCTCCAATAAATCATAACATGCAATTATTTAATTATCAAAAAAGTACGAATCAAACTAGTGTACATCAGAATGATTCAGTTATCAATTCAGAAAAACATAGTTACAATATCAATGCTAGGTTATCATTAATACCTGTAAACAATAATTGTCTAGCAAAAAACTTTCAAAAGAATTTACCATTTAAACTATACCAATATAAAAGAAGGATCTGATTGTATTTGTTATATATTTTCTACTAGTGTAAATTGTCATCAATTTTTATGATCACTATATCATTACAAGTGACCACTATAATCAACAATTAAAACCAGTTGTATGTATCTGCATGTTTAAATATTTATATGTACCTTGTTTTAACGAAAAAGTATACTTATTGTCGTTCCAGTAGTGAGAAAGAAAACTATCAGTCTTTCGTAAATGCCTTCATTGATATTACAACAAATTCATACATTTTGTTAGACAGTTGTATTTTTTTTTCTGTACTTATGATATTGACTTTGCAAAAACTTGAACAAAGAAGACAGTAGAAGAGTGTGTACAGCTCTTTTTTCATAAAAAAGAATTGTAAATAAATACTGCCTTCAATTATAGACATTCAGTTCAATACGTATTGTATTCTTTCATGGATTCGAAAAAAAAGAAATATAGAATGTCTCGTGCATCTTTTTCTGACTTTAACATTCTATAGCAACGTGAAAAGTCAAAATAAGCTTTATTCAAAACGAACTGAGGCAATCAAGTATATGTGTAGGAAAAGAATTCACACATACATGAATATATTTATGTTATTTTATATCAACATAAAACGTTACATTATTATATTGACATAAATTTCAATAACAGAAAGCTGTGTTGATTAACAGTTCTCTTAGGAAAAAGTAAAAACTTGGAACACTCATCTATTATTAATTAAAAAAATCAGCTCAATACCTTCGAGTATAGTGAAGATATTTCAAGGGAAAGAAAGCAAAACTTTCGCACTCCATCGTACTCCCAGAATATTTCAAATGTATTGAGCTGTATTGCTCAACAGACTTCTATGAAATAAATTCAAATTAATATGTTCATGACAGACATTAATAGTAGGCTCAAAATAGCAAAACAATTCTAAATGATAGATTTGATATACTCTTAGAGTATGCTAAAATATGGATGATGTATGGAGTTTTTGCTTTTTCCTCCTTAAGATATTCAAATATTTTTATTATACAGATGTTTATAGTTCACTCTATATAAGTCTTTGCGGTGAAATTAATTGATCCTCCAGAGCTATAAGGAAATTTGTAAACCAAATATGGAGGATCAAGACATATGTAACATAGATATAATTATGCACAGTCTCTTAACGTAAAAAAATTATAGATAAACTAAGAACTGCAAATATTCTTTACAAAATAAATTTTAATGTTTTTTTTTTAAATTGATTGAATGTTTGTCAGAAATCGATGTGCAACTCTTAACTATCTATTAATCATAAGATCCTGATGACGGACATCTGTTTTTTTTTTGTATAGATCCTTGAATTGGTAAATATTTCTATGTCTAATAATCAGTTGAACAAAACTAAAAATAGAAAGTTAAAATAAGATTAAAGTACGATAAATTTATCAGTATCCTTCGAAAGTACAATCATTATTGTTTTTAATAGCGTGCAGGTGGCTCATTTACGACCGACAAAGTTACTGTCAGATACATCCTGGCATATTTTCTCAATGATGTTGATTCGTTGCAAAGCATTTTCTTTTCCTTTTCTTTTTTTTTTCCTTCTTCTTATGCTTTGTTTAATCAGTCAGACATATACATTTAAATAAACGACGTGAAGAACTAGCATATTATAACAGGATCTTAACTAAAACAAGATGATGATTTTAAATATTAACAATGCTGTTTATTTGTTCTTCTATCTTCTTGTCATTTTATTTTTATCATCAGTTAATTCAATACCTTTACAACCCAAACAAGCTGTAACATTAGTACCGACATCCACTCAATTTAAACGATTGGTTTCACATTGTTATATTCATGATTATGCAGCATGGTTAGAACGACAACAAGAATTAATAATGTGGCTTAATTTGGCTAAATTACTCAAACTACCAATTGAAGAAAGTAAAATAATACAAGAAGAATTGGAACAAATTCGACTTCAATACGAATGTTTACGTGTTATTGAACGTTTACCTCTTTCTGTGGGACCTGGCTAAATATATTGATTTAAAAAGAAGAAAAACGAATGTTTAAAATTATTAAAGATTTTAATAAAATTACAAAACTTATAGTTGTTGCATATTAGTAGATAAATAAATTCTTTTATGTTTCAACTTAAGAATATATGATAACATACAAAACGAAGATTTCATCTAATTTTGAATTGATTTAGACGAATCTTGCATCCAATTATTGAATTGAGAGTAAATTGATGTTAAAAGCCCATCAATGTCGGATTCGAATTCATCTTAATGAAGTACAAGGAAGAAATGACATCTCAATAGAATTATCAATAGATGAATTAACTTAAGATTTTGAGTGGTTACAGAGAGTTATCTATTGACACTAATATCTTTTTTATAATCTGAATTTGATAGAGAAGTGTTTTAGCTTTCGAATGACGTACATTGCTGATAGAAAGTTATTGTTCTGATGTGTGGAAAGAAAAAGAAAAAACTTTTAGGTATATCCGGTTCAAGTACACTCTACCCAGACATATTTTGTTCGAATATTCTCTCAATCGAATAAAATAAATAGTATTTTTTACTGATCAAAATATGTCATTCGAAAGTTAAAATACTGTTCTATCGAGCTCCAATTACAAAAAAGGATCTTTGCCTTGATGTAAAATTTTTATTTCATATTTATTCATATCTGGCAAAGTACTCAATGTAGAACATTACTTGTGTATAAAACTACCTATAAATTTGCGGATTCAAACTTCATAAATCACCTTATGACTTTGTTAATTTGAATTTGATTGCTTTCACTCAATTTGATGCACATCAGTCCTAGTTGACTGTATACTGATTCGGCTCAGTTGTTCACTTATAGTAAAGTACTGATGTGAAC